GCACGGTTGTTAGGAGTTTCTCTGTAGCTTTTAATGTTTTTTTAAACTCCAGTTTTTCACTTTGACTTCCTTTGACTTTCCTGTGCTTTATGTAAGTGGATTATCCTGTATCTGGTCTCCTCAGAAATATCTCAAATTTAATATCTTGCTTAACTTAATGACCATTTTAACTAGAAATTAAATAAATGTAAGGTCTCTGACTTTTGCACAGTACTGTACATGTACATTCAAACATTACTGTTCTACTTACTGGACGACAGCACACACATACACACATACACACACACACACACACACACACAAATACACACATAGTGAAAGACAGTCTACAGTCTGAACCACAGTTTGACCGCCTGTGTGTCCTGATCCATTCCAAGTGTGAGGATGTGTGCTGGATGAGGAGATGTTGGCTGGAAGCGAGGGAAGTTTCTGCGGTGGGCTTCAAGCCTGCTCAACATTCCTCCTCGTTTCTGCCTCCTTTCGCTATCGTTGCTTTCCCCTCTCCAGCATAGCTGCGTAATGAGAGATCTGTATAACTGCTGCAAGGAATTAAAATCTTTCACATAAATGAGAAGCATATGTACATGCTTGTCTGTAATAGCAGCCCTGAATCACAATAACCCAACAGAGAGAGAGAGAGGGAGAGAGAGAGAGCGAAAGAGTGAGAGAGAGCGGTTTTCATATAATCACTGTAATAGCATGTGTTTATCTTGGTTTTGGCGAAAAGCTGGAGTGTTGTACTTTGGTATTTTGGCTTTTCCGAAATAGACTGGAGTTTTTTGGGGTTTGTTGTGTGTGTTTTTAAAGGCAAACCACAGACCCATGCACCCTCCTCCCCTAATTCATTTAACTCTCACTGGATGAGGGAGAGAGGAAGACATGGAGAAATAAAGAGAACAGAGTGTTGTTTATTTCTGACTGAAGGATTAGACATGTTTATAAAATGGAGTGCTCTGTGAGGCCTATGGTCAGGACAGAGGGCTGCGGATGAAGAGAATGAAACTTTGTCTTTCAGATCTGTCTTTTAGACAGAATACTCCATTACTAACACCTGCAGGACCAGCTTACAACTGACAGGTGTGTAAGAAAAAGGTTCCTTAGCCTGGAGCTTTGGTTACATCTCTGTAAGAAAATAGAGATTAAGTATGGTTGATATGGCAATGTAATGTTGTCATCATGATAAAGTAGGTCTTGGTAGGCTTTTTTGAGAATATAGTTGATATAATTAGTACCTAAACTCTGAACTACATATTTCTAAGAGAAGTTATATAAAAGGTTTTCATTTGACAAGAGATTGCGTGTAGTTGTGCACAGCACATGAAGTGAAAAGTCAGTTACTCAGTTTTTAACATTTTTAGTTACACAGTTTTCTGGTGTTTTCTTCTGTTACATCAAATCTCAGAAAATCTAACCAGAGATACATCTAGTGCAGGAGTCGGCAACCCAAATGTTAAGAAGAGCCATTTTGTCAATATATCGCTTCAGCTATTATGATGTTCAGTTTTTGCCATATTGTCCAGCCCTAGGAGATGATCAGTATATCTTGTGGGCAGGAGAAACAGGCATGTTTAACCCTCGTTGCAGCAACAATGGCTTCCTGCATACTAGATGCTCTAATCTGATGACCAAATAGAGACACTGAGGTTTTAAAATAGAGGCACTGAATTCGTTTTGATAGTATGAGACATCGGTTAAACATAAATATACATTTAGAACATGAATTCCTTTAATTGACATGAACACAGTCTAGCATTACAAAAAAAAAGAACTTTATGATACACTCATTGTAAAATTGGTGTTAAGGAAGTTGTTAAAGATGAATTTTTTATCCACTGAATATTCAGCTTTATTCCATCCAGTGCCCTCTGTACTACTGTACTATTTAATGCTATTTATTTGTAATACCTGATTAAGGAAAGCCATTGCAAAACAAACCCAAGCAGGCTAAACTTTACCCTGGCCAGCTTAGCATCTGCTTCGTCTGGCACCCTTGCCATTCATCTCATTAATTGGGGTGCAAGGAGGATGAAATGCCAAATTTTCTTTTCGGACTCATAAATAGGTTATCAGAAATAGCGTATATTCTATTATTATTTTGTTTTAATTTTTCAAGAGGGACCCCTCTGTAACACACGGCATCCTAATACGTGACACAATAAATAAATTAAATCCATAATATTCCATCCCCCTTGCTTGCTATTAATAGTAAAGAGGACAGCTATAAATCCAGACAGGATTAAAATCTCTTTTTGATGTGGTTCCACTTTTTAACAGAATGCGATTTCTTCCATGTTCATTACAGCAGGAAACTTCAGAACCGATGCATTTTTTTCTCACTTTGTGTATATGTGTGTTAGTAAGAAACAATGCCAAGTGGAAACCTTAGAGAGCTCTATGTGTATGTGTGTGTGTGTGTGTGTGTGTGTGTGTGTGTGCCTTGGGGGGATCAGAGAGGGAGTTTAGCAGATTTCTATGGATGGGATGATCAGAGGAATAGACAGTGTTCAAATCGGAGAGAGAGTAATTGGGATAGAGCAATAGCACATGAGAGAGAGAGAGAGAGAGAGAGAGAGAGAGAGAGAGAGAGAAATGCAATCAGATATCAAAAGGGCATCTGTGGTTTCTTTTTCACAATAAGCACTTGCATTCCACCGCAAATGCCAAACGGCAGAGCTAATCTTTGTTTTTTTAAAGCAATTTCTTTGTGGTGAATGTTTTGCTAATGACTTTTAGCAGCTCTAAAAATTCTCACATAAATCAAAATTCAAACAGATTTTGCTGGTTATCGCATCAGTTATCAGCTTAATTTTGTAGATAATGTTGTGCATGTGGCCTTTATTTTAGAAATGTAGGGTTTGTAGTATGATTGAGTATCTGAGATTAGTTCAGTTCACTGTTGTAATGTAGTGCCTGGAACCTAACTGTTGTGGGGTAGGGAAGCCATGTGTGTGCCTGTGTGTTTGTTTTCATACATTTTCAGAGCAAAAATGACCTGGTTTCTTGAGGAAACCAGAGAAAAATGAGGCTGGCCTACAAAACCAGCTAAATGCTCCTTACTTGTAAAGTGTTTTTCACAAAAAAAGGGGGTTTTATTTCTTTAAAACTTGAAGACTAAAGCTATTTTTTCGTTACTGAAGTTATGGTTTCACCTCTACTAAATTAAAGGTGCTGTTAAATTGGCTCATGTTTGGTAATATCTTTCTACGAAATAAGGTTTTAAAAACAATAAGGTGTTAAATAAGCTTACGTTACACCAAATTGGCAGGCGGGACCACCAGTCACCACAGTGGCAATGTTCTTATTAATGTAAAGTTGTTAATAAATATTTACTTTTTCAATTGAACGCAGGATTGTTTTTGGTTCAGAAGAATGTTTGTTAAATGTATATACAATGTAGATGTCAATGTATGAGAAAAACATATCCAAAATACTAAGAGAAGACAAAAATGTTCTTAACTTTTAATGTAAGTCAAAGTAAAGAGGTATAATTTCAAGTAAAATAATATCAGACCATTCATCATGAAATGTTCAAAGAATGTAAAGGACAGCTGCTATGTTAAAATAAAGTAGAAAAATAAAAATTGAGATTTTTTTGGGACAGCAACGATATAAAAAACATGTTTCTAATATTCTGGTCACACATTCTGAGTTTTGGCCACAAAATTCATTGGCTTGGTGGCCTGAGTGGCTAGTGCAAAATTTAATTTCTGTCTACACCTGCATGGGACATAGTATTATAACAAATAGGTACTCACATATGTAATACATATGGGACCCCATGTCCAGAACAAATGTATGAGCATATGTGTGCGTGCCTGTGTGTGTGTCCATCCAGGTTCTGAGTGGTACTGTAGGAAGGATTCATTCAGGACACACACATACACACACACGTCGCAACTCAGTGGAAGTGTGTGTGAGATTAGCTCCATTCACAAGGAGGGCCGTTGTAAGGGATATTATATGAGGAAAGCTCAGACACGGATAAGGGCTGGCCACAAAAGGAGAATGTCCAAACATTGTGTGTCGGCTGAAAGAGCCGACCTGCCCCTCGCATGCTGGAGTATGTGTGGGTCAGCCGGGATGGCGGGGCGAAAGCTTGGGCGAGCGACTTGACCCCTCTTCAGGCTCTCTCTCGCTCTTTCCCTCTCCTCCCCAGCATCCCTCCTCTCCACTGCACTTCGGCCTTTTTGTCACATTTATCGATGAATCATTCAGAACGGCTGCGTACAGTTCACCGCTGCCTGGTAATTAGCACTGGTGCATGCTGGGAGCTGGGGCCGGGGCTTTGGAGGCGGAGGGGGTTTGGGAGGGGTTAGAGGAACAGGAGGAAATGTTTGGAGACTAATCAGCATAAGAAAGGAGGCTTTCACAGTGTGTGCGGTTCGGCTGTCAGCGCTAAAACCAGATAATGATTCGGTAATAATGGCACATTGTGCATACCTCAGCCGGTGGGAGTGTAGGGGTAAACCTGCACACGCACACACACACACACACCACAGCCTGGCCTTTACCAGTGCTACGACAGGCCTGGCTTAACTCTCTGAGGTCGAAGGAAGGAAGGAAATGTAGGGCCTTTAGTTCTGTCTCTATTCATTGTACTTGAAAATTGTCTCAGAGAGCTTTTGATCAACTTCATAAGAAGAAGTATAGTAGAAGAAGGTGCAGTAAGCTGTTAGGTTTCATAGCCTCTAGAAGGCTTTGGAGCAAAGATATATTTAAAAATATATCTTTAGTCTTCTACTAATTTATCATTTACTACCATTTTCAAGCATGTTATTTTTTTCTTTTCTTTAATTTTCCTTTAGTTCTGGAATCTTTTCATTAAATACAATCTGTAAAATCAGATTTCTACATATATCGTGCATGTTTTGTGGATGATATTAGTGTGTGCGTGTGTGTCAGCTTATAAAGATCTGTGTGTATTTGTGGTGGTCTGTGATGTGTGTATGAGTGTGTGTGTACATCAGTGAAGCAGGCAGAGGGAGGGTGTGTCTTTGCTGGGTGCAGACAGCTGTGAAGCAGGGCCTGGCGGATCTTCCTCCATATGTTCTGGGAGCATTTCACACAAGCACACATCCTGCATTGAGGCCCCTGAAAACCTGCAACATAACAGCAGGGGATTTCAGCGCCTTTTTTTTTTTTACACATTTTATTGTGTTTTGATATTTTTGAATATATACATTAATTATATTTCAATTTATACAGCTGAATTTTTACATTTTAACATTTGTGTTGGTGGCAGACAAAAATCTGTGTGTACACAAGAGCACATGCGTTGTCTCAAGAGTGAGAACAGAGATTGGAGGGGCGCAGGGGGGTTTGTGGTGCCATGGCGACAGTGCCCAGCATGGCGGGCATGAGCACACCTCACAAAGCCAGGCTGGCACAGCTGGCATCTCCCTCTCTGCACGGCCCAAAGCTCCAGACCCCCTCTCTCTCTCTCTCTCACTCTCTGTCTTTCTTTCTCTCTCTCTGTCTTCCTCAGTCTGAGAAGGAACAACATCTAAGGACCATCCACTGAATCATTAATTCTAAAACAAGGATTTTTTTTTTTTCAGATTCAGTAGTCCTTTCGACCCATGAGGGAGGGCATATGTCTGAGGTTACATATGTGTGTGTGCATTATTTGGAGAAAGAGAGGCCCGGCGAGAAAAAGAGAAAGAGAGAGACAGACAGAAAGACGGAGAGAATGAGGGATCGGCACCTAAAAAGGCATCGGGAGCCATCTGCATAGGGCGGCTTGCCAGTGTCTTGCCAATGTGCCCAGACCACCTGGCCATGGCGCTAGCCAAGTATGCCAGCCTGGGCCCTGTAGCCTCCAGACTGCTGCCCCCTTTAACTGCTTTGAAACTCCAGCGGCCTTGGAAACAGGGGCTCTGCCGCCTCTCCCTTGCCAATAGCTTTGTTTGAAGTGAGACAGGCTGTGCAGTGCTGGGGGACAGCAGACAGTAAACAGTGCCCCCTTTCAGTACCCTCCCCCCCAACACACACACACACACACAACACGTCTTCTTTGTGTGAATTGGTGCTCTATGTGTGGGGTTGGGGTGTCTTTACTTTTTTGTCTTGTCCCCCCACTATTTATTCCCCTTAATGCCCAAAATTGCATTGCTATACTTTGGTACTTTGTTTCCTCAAACCTACTATCACCTGACTTTTTTTAATACAGAGAGGCTAACACCCCTCCCCCCCACACCTCATGCCAGGCTTTTCCTTTGCCCCCCTCCGCCCCCACTCTTTGCCCTCCTCCTCCTGCCTGTGAGCCCACAGCCTTGGCACAGGCTCCCTGACAACCCTGGGAACCAGCGTTTCGGAGTGGCACTCGAGGGGCACAAACACTGGCACTGCTGCCCGCTCCTGCCTTTGTTCTGTTTGTCTGTGCTTGAATATCAATGAGTACACACTTGTGTCATTTATTCTCCAAACATTTAGTCAATGCAGACAGATTTATGGAAATGCTTGCATGCTATTATGAGAACCACGCGTCAAAAATTATACACGAAGACTCGACATTGCGACGAAATGGGATTAGAAAGATATTTTAGTTGTCTTAAATAAATTTGTGATTGAAATTTTGGGATTTACAATGCATCTTATTTACAATTACGAGAACGCAGTTGAAGTATCTGAACTAGCTTGAGCGGTCGGCTCCCACACAATTGCACTTGTGTTAATTAAAATCTGTAAGCTGAAATTAATTAATGAATAAGCTTTAACTGGATGGAGGAATCGTCCCGGCAGAGCTGAACTACACTGTGACCCATACTGCATTTTAAACTCTGCCTGACTTCTGCTGCTAATGGCTTTACGTCCAAAAACATGCATCAGGACCAGAGAGTATCCCGCTAATGAACACATGAGTAGTGGAAAATCTGGAGTGGCAGATTTTTCCAGGTTTTTCTTTCCCGGTAGTGATCAGAGACCCAGGCGACCCCGAGCACTGAGCAGTCAGTACAGCTATAATCTGTGGAATGTGGGTAGAGGGAGAGTGAGGGAGAGAAGGAGAAGAGAAATGAGGGAGGGAGCAGAGAGAGAGGTTTGGGCCCATGCGCTGTAACAGGTAGTGCCAGGCCGGAGGGCCCAGGTACGCCCACTGAAAGACTAATTGATTACTGCGGTAACCGCTGGGTGATAAATAGCCTGATGCATTGCCTTCCTCCAGAGACTCTGGCCCAAAGGCCGACTGAGGATATTCTGGTAAAGTGGTGGGGCGACCGCGAGGGAGGGAGGGAGGGAGGGAGCTTTAGATTGTGTGTGTGTGTGTGTGTGAGAGAGGGAGAGATAGATAGAGAGACATTGGAGAGAAATGCCTGTGCTGGATTGTAGCCCTGGCTATGTGTGTGTGGAATCCATACGGCTGACAGTGTGCTGAAGTCGGATCTAGCCATGAATTCAGATCAGAATATTTGACAGGTCTAAATGCGTCCGCTCACAGAGGCCCAGCATCCGCTTACATGTGCGTGCCCTCATGCTTTTGTTTTGGTGCTCCCAGTACTCACTGTGCTGTAAAGCTGAGCAGTATTCAGTGAAAAATAACATTGCAGTATTTTAGTTTTTGCAGTCAGTATTGTGATGCTTATCAAATAACTATCCCCAAATTGATTAGCTACGAAAAGAGTGTGTTCAGAGTTAAGTTAGCAGTTATACCCAATATTCTGGGTAGGGTTTTAATGATATGGACAAAATACCCTGCTGCAGTTATGTTGCTGCATTGTGATTGTTAGTTTAATGAACACTTGATCTGGTTAAAGATTGACCTGACCTTTTTTGTTTTATGTCTATTGAATCATGTGAACGTCTTGGTTCATCCCAACAACCAAACTACATCTGTGATTGGTTAGGATGCTTATACACACACATACATACACACACAAATACAAACATAAAAACATTCAGGGATTGGTTAGAGGCTTGTTAACACTTCTGCCGCATCAGTATTGCAAAAGCTGAACGATTAAGAAACAAAATGTTGTGCAGTCCTACTGACCTTTTTTTTCCAGCACACTATCAGCATTCCAATGGTTGAATCTGATATTAAGAGGAGAGGGGCAAATGGAGGGAAGTTCAACATCAGTGGCATTTTAGCATATTAATATTTTATCAGACAGGAAGTGTGGATATTAGCGCCTTTTACTGGCTTGCTTTTGGATTCAGTATTCTCTGCTTGCTTTTAACCTTACACACACACACACACACACACACACATTTGTACACGCTTGTTTTTATAAAATGTCAGGACATGAGATTGTATGTCTCATATATATTAAAGTACATATTTTTATTATTAGTATGTCCCAAGTGTATTTCATATATATAAGCACCTATAGGTAATATGTTTTGTATGTATTATGTGTATGTAATTACATATATATCGTATGTTCCATACATATTATATGTATGTCAGTATATATATGTGATAATATGCCCCTTATATGTTATATATAAGTAATTGCATGTAATGGTAATAGGTTCCATGCGTATTATATATCTATCTGTATGTAATAAGAATAAGTCTACCCTAAATCTAATCTAACCTTAACCAACAACAAATTGTTTTTTAAAAAACTGAAAAATTGAGTTTTGTTTAAAGGTGCTTTAGAAAGTCAGGGCCATTTACTTGGTTCTGTGGGTTATCCCTGTTTTTCTCTGGTTTTCCTAAAAGACAGGATATTTTTGTCCTGATAATGTGTGAAAACACAGACACACACACACACAATCTTCTCTCCAGTGTGCTTGTGCAGAACTGGTATTATCAGAGCCAGACATCCTGAGTGACTCTGGCACGGCCAACTGATTGCTTCTAGTCTAAAATAGAGGGAGTTTCACGCCATGCCCCAAGAACTGCTTCAGAGAGAGAGAGAGAGAGAGAGAGAGAGAGAGAGAGAGAGAAAGAGAGGGGCTAGTGTAAAGAGACGGGAAGAGACGGTCCAGGCAGCGGCTGCGAACGGTGCCCAGAAACCCGAGGCTGCACTGCTGCAGCTTCCCTCTCAATTTCCCCCAGCACAGATCGATACGCTGCTCGATGGGCTGGGCTGACATTGTCCACAGCTCAACAAGCATAGCCAGCCAATACACACATATTTGTAGATCTGTGAGTTCATTCGCTCACTCTGACATTTACAATTAAATTACTGTGGCTGTTGTAATATTAGTGAGCATGGATCCATGGCCTTTTGACGTTAGAATTAGATTTATTACTCTTTTATGCAATTAATTAGATTGATTAGCTTTAAGGTTAACAGACTGCGGTAACATATTTTTGGAACTCTTCATTAATTCAAAGAATAAATGTTTAAAATTGCACATTAAATAAGAACATTTGTAGAAAACAGAGTTCCCGTGCACTTTTTCATTCATAATTGAAATGTATTTTTACTGATTATTCTCAGCTTTCCTTTGGAAATTTTTTGTTTATTATTTTGTAACTCACCATTGTTTTCTTGTTGCCCAAAGGCCTGCTTGGGTAGGGTGTAGAGATCCACTAGTGGAGGGCAGAGGGGGTATTTGAGTCAGAGGCAAGCCGTTGGAGAGTGTGTGTGGTCAGGGCAGAGCTCCAGATGAGCTTGTGAGCAACACACACACATGCGGTAACCTGAGAGACGGCACTCCCTAACGGCCCCATCGATCCTTCCACACCAAGCCCACTATTCTATCTCTTTCAGCCTAGCCTACTGCCGACCCCTTAAACTGTTCATTCACTGCAGCACTGCTACATTAGGACATACTGCTTTTTAACTACAGCAACGTTGTCTTCTCAGACAGTTTACTTTAGCTTTTGTTTATTTTGTTAATGACTACATATAAGAAACATTCATGAAAAAAAGCTTTGCTTCAGAGTTAGTGACTAGCTAATTTCCATCTGCAGAGAAATATAGTATGGAAGCGTTTGCTTTCTTAGTGCTTGGCTCTTGATTAAGACTGCTGTATACTTTGAAAAAAGTTTTAAATTGTTGCATTGTGTGTAGTTATGTACCTGCGTTGGGTCTGAGCACCTGTCTTTATGTATAGTGAATTTTCAGTCCCATCTGCCAAGCTTCCTTTAGTTTACCTGGGGGAAATCATTCCTTGATTCTATGTTTTCTGTCCTAGTTTCAGTGTCTTGATACGTTAATAGCATAGTAAAGTGTCACATGTCTCTATTGCTTTTTTCCCCCAGACAGATTTGTTTATTTTACTGAGACAACATTATGGATCCCATAATTCTTTGAAATGCACTCAGATAAATGCACAGTCTCGAAAAATGTTTCCCATGTGATCTGACAGCAGGCTAAATACTTTTCTGCGTCTCATACAGACCCTGATTGTATAGAGGAAGGTCTTATAGACGGGTATAGAGCCCTCTTGCCCTCCCTCAGCCCAGAGGAGGTGCACACGCACAGGAAGCCCATTGTCTGGGCCTGAGGAATCTCACCCTGCTAACGTTCGCTACTTATCAATGAGTGCGGGCAGCAGAGCCAGGCTCAGGCTCTGAGTCGGCACTTTGGCTCTTTTCGAGGGGCTGATATTGACTCCCTGCTCTAGCATTCTTCTGCGGATCAGAGCAGGCCTGCTAGACTGCACACGGCTGAGGGAACGGGGCACAAAAGTGGCCAGGAGAGAGCCTAGAGTTGATGGGGCGGAGGTTTTAGGACCTCACAGTTTATTTGTTTATTAAATGCTGTTCTGGTTCTCATTACTGCCTCAAATCAAACTGAGTATAGTGAAGTTTTTTCACATTTCCCTCAGTTAAGAGCAAGGAAACACCACACATTCTTTGCCTCACTTATATACATGCATGCTATATATTCAGATTTGAAGATTCAGTTTAATTTTTGATAGTTAATGTGTTAAAAATATCTTGCTTCTTCAGAGTTTTAAATACCCTGATTAATTTGGCTCAAAGAAATGAACACTTTATTTAAAAAAAAAAAGTTGCATGTCCTTGTGGTAAATAGTGATCTTATAAAGCAGCGCAACAGAGCTATAAACAATATTAAATTTGATAGGATGCACCCAGATGCCTTGCTATGATCATTGGTAGTTGCTGAGCAGTGTATAAGCGATACATTTTAAATTTAGATAGTTTTGAACGAACGTTTCAGTTTTTTGATGCTATAATAAAACTAACGTTCTTATTGCCTACACACGACGCTGTGTATAATTTGAAATATTTTGTTTTATTGTTTATTGAAGGTGCAGTGTGCGTTATATGTAAATCGTGTGGAATGTAGCATGTTGTTACAAAACACCAAGATCTAATCTTTGTTAATATATATGACAAATGAATGTGATTGTGATTCTGAAAGGAGAAGTAACTGAAAAAAGGAAAAAGAGCGGGACATGATATAAAAAAAAAGAAGAAAAAAAAAGAAACTCCCGACATCAGTAATGCCATCCATTACAGTGCTATAATTATGGTAAGTGAGACAGAACTGAATCAATACAGCAATTCATCAATTGCATTCCCAAACTATTTCAGTCTGGCTTATGTCACGCTGATTCCGACAGTGTCCTTCACTGGCGCAGTATCCTGGCCCGCACGTCAAGGTTCCACTCATCCTAATCCACTTTCCGGAGACGTCCATTATTTCTCTGTGCTCTCCTGTAATGTTAATCATGCTTTCGTTAATTGATCCACCGTCGCTGCTGGAATTGCCACGGCTGGGCGCTTCCTGGAGCATCTTAACACAACAACAGACATTGTAAATGGAGCCTTGTCTCCAAATCTGGACAGGGGGTTCACACATTTTTCTGTACACACAAACACACAAACACACACACACACACACACACACACACACACACACACACACACACTCGAACACATATAAGCTATTTCAACAGCTCAGACTGCTCCATAGCTGTCAGACAGAACTTGTAATATGAACAGAAATGTGAAATGCTATATGGATTGAGATTTCTGATTGTTGTGTCTGCCAAGAAAAACACACACACTATCTTACCAGTGCATATATATATTTATATATATATATATAAATAATTGTACAGTTCTGAGGTCTGTAATCCTCCTAGAAATAGATTTTTTTAGAATTATTTTAATTGTGCATTATTAAAACTCACAACCCGTCTGTTGTGCATTGCGTTGACTACAAGACATATTTTTAGAAAACAGACCATGCGCCAAGATTTTGGTAAGAATGATATATATGGTCATATATTTCTTTTTCACGATGCAGAATTATGCAATATAAAAAAAAGACCATTAACAGAGAGCATTTAATATTCCTTTTTCATTATAATGTAACTCCTTTGTGCAGCTCCCGTTTTGCAAATAGTCCCTTTGTTGCTTTAAGCGCATTCATTTCTTCATTCTTGTACAATATCATATTCATGCGAATGTCAGTAAATACCGTATTTGAATTTTTTTTTCTCTGCCAAATGCCATATTTGCTAATTCTCGGAGGCCATTGTTGGGGAAAAGGGTGGCATCGAGGATGGCAACCGCTCAAAGGAGGGCGAGGGCACTTTTAAAATGGTTTCCAAAGCTTTTAAAATGGCTGCCAGGGTGTGAGGTAAGGGGGTGGGGTGTACATTAATAATAAATAGTAATATCAGTGCCTTTATGTTATTACTTAATTAATCAAATCAGTCTAAGACAAAGAATGGTCAGGTGTTGTGGCTGTGTATGGAGCTAGTATTTTTCGCTCTGTCTTTCTTCATATCAGGACGTTGTTGAACTTGGCAGAAAACTTCTTGGCAGCGGCAGCTTCTGTGTCATCCAACAATGGGAGCAGCTAACGTGATTCTCTCTCAGTATAGCTGTGCCTGGCAGGACGATTTAACAGCTATGCTTGGGATAAGCTTGAGAGGCAGAGAGAAAAAGGAGGAGAATGAAGACAAAAAAGAGAGCGGGAATGACTAGCTTTTAAATGGGGTCTTGGCACTGGAAACATCCCTTTTCAAACTCGAGCCTTTTTTTTTCTTTTTATTGAAGTGTTTTGTTTGGTAATTATAAGAACTATTTGTTTTAATTGTCAGTAGCAGAAAATGCTTTAAATGGAAAATCTGAATGATGCGTTCGCTAGCGAGAGATTTGACTGTTGTTTATGTTCCTGTCGAGAAGCGGCTGTTCCAAAATGGTGGCTGACTGGGGAACACAAAATGGAGGCAGCGGGGAGGAGCTATGGTGAGGGAGACCAGAACGACGATAGCGGTCGATTGTGTCCCTTTGCTACATAGCACAAGAAATAAAATTCACCTAACAAAATATCACTCTCTGGATTACCATGAGTCAGATAAATTGCATATTTTGTCATTGGCATTCTTTCTGGACATTCCTTGTGTAAAACAAATTTATTTTAATATTTTTTGTCACTATTTGACTGAACAAAATGAGCATAGTAGTTTTGCACTGTTTCTCTTCCTCTGCTGATTAGGCCACATGTAAGTGTGCTGCCAGGGTTGAAATGACAAACCTACAGCTTTGGCTGGCATCAACCCGGATCCTCTAACACTCTCGGGTAGACGCCAGGGACTTGGACCGAGTTGCCGCTCACAGCCGAGCATTTGTCCAAAGGCTTTTTCTTCGCTTGCCACTCAAAATGTGCACTTTCCAGTTCAGATTCACAGCACATTTTGTAACCAACAGCTAACCGCACTGATTACTTTCTCACGAAATAGAAGAGAGGTTTTTATGGCAGGGTGTTCTGTGTGCTCTTTTTATTTATTTATTTTTGCATGGAGAAAATATTTTATTCAAGTATTGAATGCTATGGTTATTTATGTTTTCTGTGAAATTATAAATTAGGGAGTGTAGCACAGAGTGGCATAGTGGCATTGATCAGCTGCATTTTTGAAATTGGTGCTTATCATTTCAATTCATTAGATGGATTGTATCCCGTCAATATAATATGTAAAAATCAATAATGAAAATTCACCTACAAAAGGCATGTTGATTTTATTTTTTTATTTATTTTTTTCAACCTTTTCATTATGAACTTTATGATGATTAACTGCACTTTAGAAATAAATATTTTAGGTTTTTTCTAAAAGGGCACTCACTAAAATTGTTTCGTATTTTGAGATTTTATTGAATTAATGGAAAGTTGCTTCACAGTAAAAAAATTTTTAAATACAACAAACAGCAGTATTAAATGCTTGTCCAGTTTCCATGATGTGTGTGTGTTTGTGTGTGTGTGTTCGTGTTTGTGGCACTTTTTGGAGCTCTGGGTGAGCTGATGCTATGCTGCTGGTCTGAGTATCTGGGCTACAGGGGATGTTTCTCCTCAGTGTGAAGCTGCCGGTGGGAAAGAATCAGGCCGGGGAGCGCGACGCTGTCAGTGCTTTCGCCCACCTTGGCAAGTGCTTTCCAGTCTGTTTCAGACTGCAGCCAAAAAGCAAATAGAAAATTTGTGCATTTGTGTGTGTGTGTGTGCGTATATGTGGTGTGTGTATGTGTGTGAGGGAGAGAGTTGGCTGCCAAAGTGAATCACCCTGTCTTTTTTTTTGTGATGTCGTACTGCCAAGATCATGGAGACTTTCTATTTTGATTTTGTTAGAAGAAGCGTAGAGGCTTGCCCACAGAGCCATGCGCCTGGTGTCTGTGGCTAGCCACTCAGGGCCCCTCCATGCCAGGTGCAAATGCTATTCCGTTGTTTATTTATTCAAGGCAGATTTGTTTACCTCGCAGGCCCCAGAGCGACTTGTTTATGTGTAAAGTCGAGAGTTTGTGTT